AGTTTAAGAAGTGCAGAATATACTGTACTTACTTCCAAGAAGCTCCACCTGCTGGTGTATAATTATCAGGTCTAACTGTTAAAGGATGACATAAAGGAAATAGAAAGTATTACATCACAACACTTTGAAACCCTTGGGGATATTACTACTAACCTTTTTAAATAGACTGCTTAAAATTAGGTGATTTTCATGTTCTCTATTAGGAAAATGGTTGAAAATAGCTAACATTTTAGAATGCAAAAGAAGGTAAAATACTTTGTATTAAAGTAAACATTGACCAGAACATGGAAAATCCCAAGGCAGAATTGCCAAGAATAAGAATAGGAACTATGGTTACTTTTTAAGGATCTGTGCTATAGGGGCACTATGAGTTGGAATCGACTGGATGGCAATGGGTTTGGTTTTTTTGGTTTTGATGCTAATGGAAAATAAGAGTAGGTCTTGGAAACAACAATATTTTCAGAAGATTTTTAAACAATTTCTAAATATTAATGCTTAAGATGATTTAAAACTCAAAATTTTTTTAAAGAAATGAAACAACACAAGAATGAGCTGAATGCCTTGCCTTTCTTCTCAACCCTTGCCTAACCCTACTTTCACTCTTGGTTGTGCTGCAATTCATTCTCCATAGCAAATAAATGTCTTTATGAAATCTAAACAAGATTATTCTATAAATCTCTTTCGCACTTTCTTTTCGGCTAGAAAAAACAGAAACCCTGCTCATGCCAATGAAACACCAATTTAAGCAGAAAAAGAGTTTTTCCACTAAACATCGGACATAATTGAGTAGCTATATAGAATTAAAAATGAAATTAATTTACAGAGATAAAGTTTTTGCAGATAGTTGAGAAGTGAAAATATTAAAAGTGTAAACAATGCAAGTTACTTTTTTAAGAGAATATGAAAAATGTGCTTTTGGAATGAAGTTTACTTGTGCATATTTTAAATTTGATATTCAGTACTTGAAGATCATCTGGGCAAAATCATGAACACTGACTATAGTGCTGATCATTGTATTTACTAATGCTTCATTTTTCTGCTTCACCCTAAAATGTTCTTCACTTCATTCTCTCTTCACATTAATAAACTCACTGGTAACTGGTAAATTAAGGCAATCGTTACTAATATTTGGTATTGGCTAAGGACCGCAAACTCAGAAATTTGAAGCTACATTATTTCTTAGAGAGGGAGGTAACTAATATCATTTCCTGCATGTAAATCTCATTATTGATAAAAGAGTACAAGTGGCCTCTTTAAGAGGGATTAGCAAAAAATGTTTTTCCAAAAATAATTTATGATCTGAAATTTCTAAGATTTATTTTAACAATTATGGCAAGATCTTTTTATTTTAAACTAGAACAAGTCTTTTGTATTAAAATGTCATTAGTTCTGTTTTCATGAGGGAAACGGGGTTGTGTGGAAGAGAAGGGGTGAGCCTCAAAAAGGATATAGATGATTGTTTAGGAATGGATCTATGCAGGGATAATTTAGGGATACAGAAGATTTATGGGGTCATGGCTAAGGTTTGAGTTTAGAAGCTTTGAATATGGGTGTCAAGTCTGAGCCTTGAAATTTAGTAACTATGAACTAAGATCCACTCCACAATGAAAAAGGAAGCTGTACCTCTCCACTAACCAATAATAGTTGTTTTTTGAATGATTACAATGAGATAGTCACTGTGCTAGATTTTTTTTCTTTAACTTCCCATCATCCAACCTATTCCTTGGGAAGTATTCATCTTTTGTTATCTCAGTAGATGTACCTAATCTAGGTATTTCATATAAATAGGATCATACAATATTTGTCTTCTGTGATTGACTTACTTCACTCTACCTAATGTTTTCAAGGCTCATCCATGTTCAAGTATGTATCAGAACTTCATTTCTCTTCACAGCTGAACAATAATACTCCAATAATACTCACATTTTGTTTATCCATTTATCTATTGATGGACACGGGTTGTTTCCACGTTTTGGCTACTGTGAATAATGTCGCAAGGAACATTGGTGTGCATGTGCTGGTTTGAATCACTTCTTTCAAGTCTTTTGGGTATATACCTAGGAGTGCAATTGCTGGATTATATGGTATTTCTATTTTTAACTATTTTAGAAACTGCCTAACTGTTTTCCACAGTCACGGCATCATTTTATATTCCCACCAACAATGTACAAGTGTTCCAACATCCTACATCCATGCCAATGTGCTAGATATTTTGACATAGCATGTAATTTAGTTCTCACAACAACTCACAAAGATACGTATATTTATTTCCATTTTATACATGAGGAAACAACCCCAGAGAGATTAAGTAAATTGCCGAACATCATACCCACTGCTGT